AAAAAAAAAAAAAAAAAAAAAAAGGTCATGTATCAAATTGCAGTACAATATAGTTAGAAGAAATGGAGTCCATGTTCTTACAGGATAAAAGGTATTCCAGAGGACTCCTTTCACACGCTGTCTCCCCACCTTCCAAACATAGACACGCATGTTACTTCTTTTAGTGAAACTCAAACCAAAAACAGGAATCACCCTTGCTAATTAGTACTGAGTGGACCAAGGTCTGGGCAGAATAAAATGACGAGAAAATTTAGGTCAGAACTTAAGACCTAATGACTGGAAATGGAGCTTCAGATATGGGTAGCTAATCTGTGTAGGATAAAAACTTGCAGGCAGCTCACTTCATTCATTCCAAAGGAAAGATTTAGGAAGACAAGGAAGGGAAAAATGAGCCTCTATGTCTCAAGGCCTTTCGCAGGAAACTTGATAGCTTATGGTTAGAATTGATTAGAGAGAATGATCTGATTTAGCATCATTGTCAGGTAGAACTCTTTAGGACCAGAAAGACCTCTACCTACTAATCAGCAAGAAGTAACTAATCCCAGGCTTACTGTGAGATATAGAAATTAGTGGACCCTGGAAACTAAATTTAATTTCTGGATCGAGTATCACTATGCTTTTATGGGAATTAAATCAACAAAAATGTATTAAGAGTCCACTCTGTAATAAGCACTACAGTAGGTACTGGAGATCCAAAGATCAGTCATAAATTTAAAGGAGCTCAATCCAGTGTCAGAGAATGAGATTTAAACAGATACTTATTAATATAGTAAGTACAGCAATAGTATGTACAGGGGAACATTAAGCCACAATGGAAGGGGAGTTGTGTGGTCAGGCTAGTCAGGCAATTAAGTAGGCAAAAGGGGGTCTGCGTAAAAAAGGTATTCCACAATAGAATATTGCTGGAGCAGGTGATGACTGGAAGTTTAAGCAATATTGGGTTATTGAAGTTAAGAGCCTTAAATTGTATCCTATAGACAATGAGAAGCCATCAAAGGATTTTCTTTTAGCACTTTAAAATGTCATTCTGTTGTTTTCTGGCCTCCATTGTTTCTGATGCAAGCCAGCTGTAATTCTTATCATTGTTTTCCTGAATGCCATATGTCTTTTTTTCTGGCTGAGTTTAAGATTTCAGTTTTTTTAATCTTTGTTTATCAGCAGTTACACTATGTTACTAGGTGTGGTCTTCTCTGTATTTATCTTGCTTGGGTTCACTTATCCCTGTTTCTATGGATTGTTGGTGGTAGTTTTTTCCTTTTTGTCAAATTTGGAAAAATTTGGCCAATATTGCTTCAAATATTTTTTTCTGCCCCATCTCTCTCTTCTCTTCTGAGACTATACTTTTGCTAAACTTCTTAGTCCTTAGTACATGTTATTCCATGCTCTTCATTTTTTTTCAAGTCTTTTTCTCTCTATGCTTCAATCTGGATAATCTCTTTTGAGAGCCAGTGTCTAGCAATTCTTGGAAAATCTGAATGTTAACATTTTCCCAAAAGCACAGACACCCTCCTAATGACTATGGGTTCCTTTGGGGAAGGTTTGGAGACGCATTAGTGAAGAAAATAGAAATTACAAAATATTACAACTGAGAGAATTTAGCACTGGATGTTAATGTGAGGCAGGATAGTAAAAAGCTAGGAAAATTCCTTAGCAAGTGCAGTGGGAAATTGAGATAGATAGCTGAACAAGCTGGACAAGCAATTTACAGCCAGATAATAAATCACAAGGTCTTATCTTACACATTCCAGACCATACTGGGGCAGACCCAGACCCACCTTGGTCCCAGTTCCTTTCAGGTGACATTCTTTGAAGGTGCAACTGACCAGAGAATGACCTATACACTTATTATGATACATCAGCATATTAAAGATTCACCTGGAAAGCTGATGGATATTCTATTGAGATCCTCCTAAGACTTCCCCTAAAATTTCAGCCTTCAGAAAATAGACAAAAACCCTGAAGACAAAGGACCCATGTGTGCTTTCTCTAGAGCAATGCCCATACTTACTTTCTTCAGGCATGTATCTTTGCTTTCTTTCTCTGAAGCATTTAAGGGAACCCACAAGACTTGCAACTAGGGGAGCAGCAGGTAGCATCAGGCTGTCCTAGGCTAACCCTCTGAACCTGTCTTTAACTTGTTTCCTGAGTCCATGTAGCCCAGCTGGCTCACTTCTTCTGCCTCTGTGACTTTCTTTCTAAAAAGCCAAGGCAGCTCTCTGAGCAGCCCACTCAAATCTTTTCTTCAAGTGTACTTTCACTTTGCATGCTAAATAAACTTCTTGTGCTAGAGTTCTTGCTCTGAATTCTTTCTTTGCCAAACTCAAGAACCAAGAGCCAACATCCATAAAAGATGGACTGAAAAAGCAAAAAGGGAACACTGAAGCAGCCCAGAGGTGATAACTGTAGAGAGTAGCTACCTCTCCTAAATCTAGTGAAAAAGAGGAATTGATGTTGGACTATCAGGTCTCAGAATCTCAGAGGAATGATCTAGCTGAACTGTAGCTCCAATCCCTGAAAGGATGCTATCCAGCTGGTCCTGCTACTACTGAGAGGGATATGATGAGGCTGGTTGGGGGTAGTGTGCACCAAAAAAGCTCAGGGCTTCAATCAGTTGTTGAGCAAGAGTCCATTGCTTATTGCTGAGATAACAATGACAGAAACTGCAAACAAACAGAAAGGAGGAAGTCCTTTCCCCCCCTCTGACTTCCAGTCTCCCTCGAATGGCCTTTGTTGGTGGAACCTAGTAAGACATCAGCTACCATAGGAAAAATATAGTTTGCAGAGTATGAGCCATAGCATCAGAGGAAAGTATAGAAGGGTGAATTTGGAGCTAAGATAGCTCAATAACAATAGCTTAATAACCAGTATCATATTAACATTAGTTTATGCTAAATTAGTAAAAACTTCCCAAATTAATGCCAGTTTATATGCTTTTACAGACTTTTAGGCCCTTTTAAAAAGAATCTGAGGACACCATGTTATATCAATTTTCTTCTATACTGTGATTACTGCTAGTGTCCTTCAGGGCTAAGGAGTACCTTTACTGAAGCTCAGACATGTACTGGCTACAAAACCTAAACAAGGGCAATTTTGGAAGAGATTCTATAACTGAGGATAAGCAGACCCTGCCCCAACATTAGGCCTCCCACCATCAGGCAAAAAAAGGGCATAGACTAACTAGAGCTGGCAAGAATCCAGTCTTCTCCCTACTTCCATTTCCTATGCATTATCTAATGTGGCCTTAGCAAGAGGAAGACCAACTTCCTGTTCTAAGGTAAGATAAGCACAATTGTCATTGAAAAACCAGCTACTTTCTTTTGTTCCTTCTTCTTACCTTAATTCAAGCTCCCTTACCCAGCCCAATCACCTCTAGTTTTCTAATGCAAGTAGATCACAAAACAGGGCTTGGTGCTCAGCATTTCACCCAACATTGTACTTTTCACAAACACTGATTTTTGAATATTGAAGGATTTTTGTTGAACATTTGTAAAACATTGGGCATGAACATTTTTCTAATCTTTGAACTTTAGGACCACAGAAGTTGCATCTGAAAGGAGTCATTTCTTCATGTATGTTCTTTAGTAATGAAAGTTAACATTCTTCTACCACAATTACCTTTTGTAATAACAGTAAAGACAAAGTTTCATGACATTTCACATATTTAATATTTGTTTTTTAATATATTAGACTAGAATATATTTTTCTATATCTGCTTATATTAGTTAAATATTATATAGCACTCTGTCAATTATACAACACAAAAGACAAAGGTGAATATTAAAGTGGCAGTGTATCTATTAATAACTGATGGTTAAGAAGATAATAATCAGGTATTCATTTAATGGGAGAGTCTAATATTTCCTGATAATCCTGCCTCCTTAAATTCCTCCAGTAAAGTTTATAGCCAGCAAGGACAAAAACACTAATCATAATGATAACCCCTCCAAAGACATCATAGACACTAGGAAATATGTGTAACACTAGAAGCTGCAAGACCATCGCTACCACAATCTCCAGATGTTGTACTGTGCTGACCAAAGCTGGATGGAATTTGTCCAAGGCATAATAAACTCCTAAGAATGCTGCAGTAGAACAGACACATATAGCAATGAGATAACTCCAGGTTTCTACATCTAATGGCATAATGGGTTCTTGAAAAATGAACATAGTTGATATTCCCCAGACTGTCCCAGTCCAACCAAAGGTAAACAGTGCAGTCCACATGCTGATCTTCTCCTTAATGGATCTGTACACTATCATTGAAAGAGCAGTGGTCAGCCCAGCCATCACAGTCATAGTATATCCAAAGGCTTCTTTCCAAGCATTTAACAAGGAATTTTTTTCACTAACTATGTTGGGGATCATGACAAGGCAAACACCTAAGATGCTACAAATAACTGTAGCCATGTCAATATAAGCCATTTTCTCATCTACAAGTAAAAAAGCCAAAATGGCACTGAAGACTGTGGTTGTGGCTCTCCACATAGTGGTCCCATTGCTGGGAGGAACTATAGAAAATGATGTATAAGCACACGTGATAGAGATGACATTGCATACACCATAAAAGAAAAGTCGTAATCTATATCCACTGGGGCCAAAGGGGGCCTCCTGGTAGTAACACACAACTAACACAGATAAGATCTGCAAGATAGAACGGATAAAAATCAGTTCTAGAGATGGAACTTTAGAACGATCAGCAACAAGCCTAGTGATAAGCGCTACACATCCATGAGCCAAAGCAGATCCAAAAAGCACTATCCACATTTTTCTAGATTGAAAAATGTTTTTTTCTGCAAAGCTCTGGAATTGACCAATTTCACTGGTCATGGGGTCTTCTGCTGGTGGAGGCTGGGTATCCATGGTTCCAAAAAAAGTTCTTCCTTTTCTTTTCATTTCACTCAGCAGGCCTTTCTTTGGATTTTCTTCCATAAAATTTCCATAATCTTCATTAATTTCTTCATATCCATCATCCCCAGGCTGGGGATAATGAGAAGTGTATTTCACCATCACCGTGTTGGGATGTATTTTCACCCGTTTTTTAACTGGATAATTTTTGGATGGAGAAGTATCCATTTCTTCAGATATTTCTGTTTAAGAAGGGGAAAAAAAAAGACATGTACATATTCATTCAGTTGAAATTTAGTTTTAATTTCTATTATAACCATTTATACCAATTCAATAATAGATGTTGTAACAGTTTTTTGGGGGGGTTGCTTTTTAAGTAATAGGAAGAGAGAATCTGGCAATATGCCTTATCAGATGTATGAGGCCCAATGAAATGATCTATCCTTTTTCATTCTCATTTTATGTTTGCCCATTTCTCATTCTGCTTATTCTTTGACTCATTCAGCTCTATTTCATATCTTTACATGACAAACAACTGATATTTTTCCATCTTTTCATTACTACCCGTGTCTCCACTCATCCAAAAGAAAAACATAACCTAGATCAAAACTTTCCCTCTCATTGTGTTCATTTGTCTATATTATAAATTATGAGTGGATAAGTCTAAGTCTTTTGTATAATTACTTCTATATAATACCAGAGTTAGCCTTATATTACAAATTATAGTGATTTTTTAAACATTCTGGGCTCTCCATACATTTTTCAGATATATGGATTCACTGAAATTAAAAAGTAAAAATGAATTTAGTGACATTCACGCATTGTTGGTGTACAGCCTTCCTGATGACCACCTGGACAATATGTTTTTTAACTGAGATTTTACTGCAACTACCCTTTAATTCATCAATACCACTTCTAAGATTTTACACTAAAGAGATGATCACAAGATGCTTTTTACTTGGTGTAAAAAGAAAAAATAAGAATACATATTTATGTATTTGCTTATATAGCATAAAGAAATTATGAAAAGATACAAAGGAAACTAATAATCATAGGGGTGGGACAGAGAAAAAGAATGGAAGAAAGGCTTTTTACTGTAAACCCATATCTATCTATCTATCTATCTATATATATATACACACATATATATACACACACACACATATTTAATCACAATGTTCAAAAAATTAAAAACTAAAAATGTTCATCTGTTATTTAAGAAAAAGAGAGCTCATACAGAAAGGTGTGGGAAAAAATGTTTAATAGGAAAGTTTGCTGTAGCTTACTACAATGACCCTTCATATAGTGGAATACATACTATGCTATGCATCCATTAAAAACGACTGCAGATTTTTACTGATGTGAAAAAATGCCCATGACACATTGTTGAGTGGGAAAAAAGTTAAGCTTCTTATAATTATATGAGATAATGCATATAAAGAATTTCCCACAGTACTGACATATAGTAAGCTCTCAGTGTTAATAAATTCAGCTTCCTTCCACCTATAATTAATCTTTTTAAACACTGGGTATCTTCTACAATGTTATTCTTTTTTTGAAACTGTGTGTTCACTCAGCTCTCTTTCATTATCTATCTATCCATCCAAGAACAATTTCCTTCCAAATGATTCTTCCTCTCCCCTCCTAAAAAAAAGAAAAAGAAAAAAGAAAAAAACTTTACTTTTGTCCTCATGACATACTTCCTATTCTTTTCCCAAAACCCATCAGTTCCAGGATCTTAAACAATGATCCAGATAACAAATTCTATTTTGTTTTTTGACACCATCTGGGTAGCCAACTGCTCCATTCCCATCTACTCCTTTCTCTTCTAAAGGACACCACCTTCAGTTGGAAGAAGTTATTTTAGCAAACACCACCTGTACCTCCATGCATTTCAATTTCTCAGCCTGGACTTTCCGCTTGCACTCCTTCATGCATATTGCTATCAAGCTAATCTGGTGTTCTTTTCAACTTTTATCAGGACATTTCCACTTCAAATCATGACTTCAGCTTCAATAATCACAAATTGAATTAATAGTCACAGTCTCCTCACTCATGTTTGTAATACCACCATTTTTCCAGTTCCCCAAGCTAGAAACCAAGGAATACTCTGAATTATCCTTTCTGCCACCACACTTCCATTTGGTCATCACTCTTACTGTTTTTGTCTTTAAAATATTTTCCTTTCTCCAATTCCATTTTACCTTTGTGATTCAGTTTTGGTTATTGTTAATTCCTAACTAGAATATTGCAATAGTATCCTAACTAGACCCCTTGAATCTCAGTCCTTCTCCTCTAAAATCCATCTATTTTATACCACTCTTACATTAATCTGTCTTTAAACGACTCAAAACAAGAACTTCCCTCAAGCTTTCCCCATTCTCAGTTCCTCTGCCTGGCTCTCACTCATGTCCCTGCCTAGTGTATCCCCTATCAATACTTAGCTCCTTAACACAGATACTTTAATCAGTCCAGTGTTCTCCCTGTCCTCACTCCCCACATGTACATATAATTTCTCTAGGTCTTTATTCTCAATACTTTCCGCTGTACTCCAACTTTCTAAATAATGCTCATCTTTTAAGAAGGTCCAGTCCAAATCTGCCTTTTAGAAATAAGCCTTCCCTGACCACGCTAGCTAGTCAGAACTTTGTTTGTTGGTGTGGTGAACCACCCCCCACACACACCCACAATGGAATTGGGTGCAGAACCCTTGCTATAGAACTTATTAAATACATGACCCAGGCCAACTTAACCTCTTGGCCAATTTCCTCTTCTGTAAAATAACAATAGTGTTAGTTCATAGGGTAGAATAAGAATATTAAAATCAGCTAATACATACAAAACACTTAGTATCTGGCACCTACCAAGTGCTCAATAAGTTTTAATTCTTTTTTTCACATGATTCTGCCTGGAATGACCGGGTCCTCCCCATTTCTGCCCTTGTCTACCTGTTGAGCTCCCATCTGTGCTTGAGTGGTATCCTCAAGTGCTATTTCCTCCTTTGCAGTCTTCCCTAGTCTTTCCCATCTCTGTGCTCCACTGTCCCAGTATTGATGAGTTTATATCCTGTCTTTCCCACCAGACTTTAAACTTCTTGATAGCAGACTTTCCCACCATTATATCCCCTGCCTTTAAGGGCCTAGTACATACCGGTACTCAATAAATGTTTTTTGGATGAAATAGAATGGATTTGAAAGCCAAGAAGAGGGAAATATAGAAAAGAATGGGGAATGATATTAAAACTACTGATATTTTATTTGCAGATGACATGATACTGTAGGTAGAGAACCCTAAAGATTCTCCAACAAACCTAATGGAACTGATAAATTCAGTAAAGTAGCAGTATACAAAATAAATCTATTGCATTTTTATACAGAACTATCAAAAAGGGAAACTAAGAAAACAAACCCATTTACAATTGCATCAAAAAAATACCTAGGAATAAATTTAACCAAGGAGGTAAAAGACCTGTCTGTACTCAGGGTCTTAAAGTTTTGGTAATTCTCGCAATATTTCAAACTTTTATTATATAATATTTGTTATGGTGATCTATAATCAACCATACACTAAGAGAATAAAATGACAAAAGGAGGCACAGGGGAAAGCCCCAGAGGAGAACATGTGTAAAATTTAGTTTGGATGGCAGGAAGCCAGGTTTTAGGGTAGGATTCTCAGTGGCAGGGGTGGCCACGTGATTGAGACTTTTCTCCTACATTCTACACAGATATTTTATCATCATCACCAGTGTTTCCTGTCAGAGAATTTATGATTTCAGGAAAACGAAAATAGTTTCTTTTCTGAAAGAGCTTAGAAGCAGATTCTATTTCCTCTAAAGCAGAGGGCTTTAACACAAAGATGCAGACTCAAAGAGTTTTAATAAAGCTCAAGCAAATTTAAATGCTGCCTCTAGTCCTCCTGATCCTCATGAGTTGCAGAGGGGATTAAAATTAGGTATTACTAATTATTATATTTGCAGCACCTAGCACAATTCTTGGCATGAGATAGGTGTTTAATTAGTGTTTGTTGAATCGATTAATGGACTATTTTTTTAAACGAGGCAAATTTTGTTAACAAAATATAAATAATATAAATGGATTTACATGGCTAATGACTCAAATGGGGAGCCTTATTCGTTAAAACACTTTAAAGTCCTTAATAATATGCAAGAATAATAAAACAGGGTGTGCAGCTTGGCTAAAAGAGAATTTGTGCATTTGGCTTCTGTACTGCTAGCTCTATTTCTGCTGCTAGGCCTCCCATATTTCCTTTAACATTAAATTCCTCAGGCATAACTGAAGCTGTTCCTTAAGTAATGTGTATCTGCTTTTCTTAATTAAACTATTCTCAATCAATTAGGAAGGGTACTGAAGATATATGTCTTTCAGCATCACCAGAATGAACTGTTGCTGTTTCCCTGCTTCCCACTGCATACCTCAAAGTTTGGCCCAGTCAGGTGACTCCCACCACCACCCAGTGTACAGTAGTTCCTCATCAGGCTCCCCAGGTTTGCTCAGTACGAGCTTTTGACTCAGGAGCTATTTACCACCATCAGGTCTCTAAGTAAAAAACAACTTTTTGTGTATTCCTATTACAGAAGCAACATATGTTTATTATAGAAAATTCAGAAATGCGAGAAAGTAAAGAAAATAAAAACCATTCAGAATCCTAAACACCCAGAGATAACTACTGACCCTCTCCAGGCCTTTTTCTATTTGTGAACATTTTCCCCCCAAAATGGTATCAAACATCATATCTTATTTACAAAAACAGTGTAAATATTTTTCTGTGTCATTAAATATTCTTCAACATCACTTTTAATGGCTAGTTAATATGAGTCCAACAACGGGCTTTGAACACAATAGGTCAATCATTAACTTCAGCTTCCTGAGAACTGCAAGGCAAATGGGATGACCAACTGCCACCAATCCTTTATGCAAGAATAGATCCATGACCATTACAGGAAAAGCCACATATGTGAAAATGAACAGATAACAAATCTGCAGTCTTCCCACTGAATGTAAATGAAGAAATGGTTTTTGATGACCAGAGGCAGATGGTGAAAAAACAAATAGGAGGTAAATTAAGAGTATCATGTTTGTCTCTTTGTTCTCCATTCAGATATCATCTATGAAGAGAACCTAGCTGAGACTAAAAGTGAAATAAAGTCTGTCTTTATTCATGTTTGTGTGTTTATTTAGGATCAATATACTGGTTTTGAAAGGATTTGAGGCAACCATTC